AAGTGTGTGTGTTATGGACTCGGTAATTTTTAGTTGAATAAGCCTATCAAGTCTAAAAATTAATGATTTCTTCCTTTAAAAAAAAAAGTCAAGACTTTATCCTTATTTAGATACTCATTAGGTTTTAACCAGAAGGAAATTTGGGTATGTATTGGAAGTCTTGACAAAATGCTGCCCTTTTTTAGAGAAAGACTGCCATTTAGAGGTTGCAAACTCTCAGTAAATGATGAAAAAGAGATAAGATGAAGTCTGTGTGACATACACACATAACAGTAAGGAGACAAGTGATTCCAAAGAAAGTATGTGTTTTCTTCCATTAATAAGAGAGCCAACAACCGTCCTTCAATCTTAGCAATTTTTAAACTTAAAATTACGATACTGCTTACTCTTAGATTAACAAAGATATCTGTGTCGTTATTTTTTAGTTGATCTCATTACAAATTGAGTGTAAATTCAGGTCTTAAAAGAGGGCACAAAAAGGAAGGTATGAAGTTGATCGAAAAATGAACTAGTAGAAGACTGAGGAATTGACTCCATCAGTAAAGGGCTCGCCTTGCAAGTATGAGAACCCTAATTGGATCCCCATCATCCATGTAAGAGTTGGATATGGTCACAAATTTCTGGAGTTCCAATACTTAGAGAAATGGGAGGAGGAAGATACTGGAAGCTCGTTGGCCAGCTAGCCCAGAGAATCATCAGAGAGTTCCAGGTTTGGTGAGACACTGCCATGGAAAAAATAAGGTGAAGAGCATCGGAGAAAAATCCCCAAGGTCAATTTCTGGGCTCCACAGGTACACAAAGGTATGTGTGTGGTGATATTGTGTTCCCCAATATATTGTGCACCCCAATAAACTTATCTGGGGTCATTGAACAGAACAGCCACTAGATGTAGAGACCAGAAAATGATGGCACACACTCCTTTACTCCTAGCATTTTGAAGGCAAAAATCCATCCAGATCTCTGCGAGTTCAAAGCCACACTGGAAACAGCCAGGCATGGTGACACACACCTTTAATCCCAGGAAGTGATGGCAGGAAGCAGAAAAGTATATAAGGTGTGAGGATCAGGAACTAGAGCCTGGTTAAGCTTTTAGGCTTTTAGCAGCAGTTCAGCTGAGATCCATTCAGATGAGGACTCAGAGGCTTCCAGTCTGAGAAAACAGGATCAGCTGAGTAATTGGCAAGGTGAGGTGGCTGTGGCTTGTTCTGCTTCTCAGACCTTCCAGCATTCACCCCAATACCTGGCTTCAGGTTTGTTTTCATTAATGAGACCTTTTAAGATTCATGCTACATATGTGTATCCATGCCCCCAAACACACACACACACACACACACACACACACACACACACACACACACACACACACACATACACACACACACAAACTAATAGAATATACTCACATTCAGAATCATTTAACGGAATCCTTATGCACACCGTGGGTGATGAACACACTATATAGGGCAAGGTGAACTACACCCAGCAAGATGACTAAGATCAAAGGCTCAAACAACTCAAGACACCTATGCATTTTATTTTCCTCCTTAAATTGCACATGCTCTGCCCTTAAAATATGTTTAGGAATTCTGCCACAGGTTGGCAGGATATTGCAGTGCTAACATGAACTACAATTGGTTTTGCAATGACAATCTGTGGAGAGAATAAAGATGAAAAACAAATAATGCACAGCAATATGCCAAAAGCTGTATCAAATCAGGTTCATCATAGTCCCCAAAGTCCAAGGATTATTTGAGGAGCTCAGTTGTATTTCATGTTTACAGCACTCTCTATAATAAGCATGGTCTCTGCATAAAATCTTTGCTGTAAGGCTGCCCTAAAGCTAGCATCCATGGACAATAACATCTTCTAGTTAAGATAAAGATTTAAGGAATGGATGAAGACTTTCTGAGTGGTTCAAATTATTGTTATATGCTTTGAGTTTTCAAAAATGCCAAACTTCATGGTTTCAAATTTGATATTAACCAAAAAAAAGGTAGTTCTTTGAAAATAGCATAAATGGTGTGATGTAAGTTCACTTGCTTATCCAATAAATATGTGCTGAACACTTGCTAGATGTTACATATTGTTGAGATCTATAGGGATAAAACACTAGGTTAAAAGAAGTTCCTACTTTCCTGCAGTCCACACTACAGAGGAAGAAGTTGGAAAATAATTAACAATTAAGTAAGTTAATGAATATAATAAGTGATGTACCTGGTGGTGAGAATGCCTAGGGATTAAAACAATTTCTAGGTTGTTGGAGTGCCACAAATGATATGTAAAGGGAGAAGATTATGTCTTTGCACAGTCTGAACTTAAATCAAGACAAACCTGAAAAAAAAAATGATTTACATTCTATCTTGAACTTATAACTTAGACCTCCGAGAAGTTCTACTATAAAAAAGCTGAGCCAAGTACCTTTGCTCACTCTATGAGCATGCACTGAGGACCTGATATGTACAAAGCTGTATTTTCAGGAGTGTGGGTGCCGAGAGTCAGGTTTTTCCCCCTCAGGGAAACTGTAACTTCCACAAGGGTGGCCCAAAATTAATTTGAGCAGTTTGAGTGACATCTCTGCTACAAGAAAATTGGAAAACTGAGTGAGCCATCTCATCTAAAGGACTCCAAGTAAGTTTCGTAGAAGAAATGGCATCCAAAGGAGACCATGGAGAATGACAAGGATTCGGGGAAAAAGAACAAAATGAACAGAGGCACAGATGAGGGGGTGCTGGGACCTCAGTGGAGCTGTTAGCTCAGAAGCAGGTAGAGATGCTGCTAAACAAATAGTCCAGGACACACCCAGAAAGCACGTGAGTGAAGAGATTTCAATTTGATCCATAGGTAATTATCATCCATTGAATGCTTTGAAGAAAAATTCCACAGCTTTCTTTGTCGTTGGTGTGAAGCTGAACCACTGAGATTTCTTCACTGAAATATTAGACTTCCATTAATACTTTACATCTCCCTGCTTACGGTTGAAAATACAAACACATGAAAATAGACAGGTCGCCAATGCTACTGAATGCTTTTGAACTAAGGGAAGATGTTAAGGAACATGAATGAATAAGTGGTCCCTGGCATCAAGTGGAGGCTGAAATAGTCAAACAGAGTGAAAGCTCTTGCATCAGTCTCATGGGAGATGAAAAGGATCTAACCTAAGACAGTGGAAGGAAATGGAAACAGAGAATGACAGAGAGAGATATTCTTTTTAACCTGACAACCAGTTGTTCTCGTTTCTAAAGAAGTTTTTGAAACTAGCCGATGTACAAGTAAACACTTCAACATTTCTGTAATCAATTCAAATGTAAATATGCTCCTTGTAAAATAAATATAGTGTTCCACTTAATGGGTCACACACTGGTAGACTCTGTTTAGAATGAAAATATAAAGCCTCTGGCCAATTATCTGCACCTATAGAGAATAAGTTGCTGAAATCAGACCGTCGCACAGAGCTTAATTATGTAGTCCAAGTGTTACTGAGTAATAAGAATTAGGAGGAGCCACTGAATAAATAACAAATACTAAGTTAACCAATCTTAGCATCTTTGACTTTCTAATCACAGAAAAAAATAGTCATGATCAAAGACTTCATCGGACTTTCCATTTGACCACACACAACTTTTTCACAATCAAAAATCATTCTTCCTGTCTGGTTTTGAGTGTCCAGAACAGGTACTTTTGAAGTCCCGAAACAAGAGTTTTCCAAAAGCTAAGGGTTTTCAATACCACAGAGTTCTGCTCAAATTACTCCTGTGACTTATCTGTCTGCATCTCTTAAAATAATGCCACTGCTACCTTTTCGACTTTCAAAGACTGGTAGAGTCTGATGTGGTCAGCAGTAGTTGTGTGCCTAGCTGTGTTTGTCTTCTCACATGTCCTAAATGAGTCTTCGTCTTCCTTAGTCACTGTAACTGGTTTCTTCTGGGCGAGCTCCAGGTTTTGCTTCTAGCTACTGATCTCGAAGGATCCAGAGTCTAACCCAAACTTCAAGTCTGGTTTGGATCTGGATATTTCCTTTTATTCATTTAATAACCTGGACATGTGTATGATTTATTATCACTGATGCAAAGTAGATCTCTGACTCCAAAGAGGAGAGACTGTTTACTCAGAGCTCATTTTGAAAGTGTTCATGGCCCAGGAGCATGGGTTCAAGTTGCCCTGGATGATCTGTTCCAGTGTGGAAACAGTTACATGAACATTTTAAAGTCACAGAACAAAAGGAAGTCATATATCCAGGCATTTAACAGATACATTGGTAGGGCCATCAAGAAGGCAAGTTACAACAAAGTCGGGAAACTGCTGGTACAGGTTTTAGGTGCTTTCTGATGCCTTTCCTAACTTTGGGTTGGTGAAAGCTAATATGTAAATCAGTCTCAGAGATGTGTTAAGTCTTGATTACTTTCAGAGCACCAGAATTCATAGTTAGCTGATAGTTGAGGAGATACCTGGGTGAAATCACTCTAGAGTGCCATTCGGATGAGTTTAAGACTCCAAAGAAACCAGAAGAGCTCCACACCATTAACATAATACTTTTGTTTACATTATAGGAGACTACGAATGAGTAGACATACTGATTTCAATCTGCCCTGCCTACGATAAATTTCGATACTCATTTTCTTCTCTTTGAGTCAAAAATGTTCTTAAACAGCCACTACTGCCCAACCCATCCCATTTTTTTTTTCCTTTTACTCAATATACACTGATCTGAATAGTCAGCTATCCTGGCATTTCACACTATTTGAGGGCATAGCAAATAAACTCGCCTCTGTGGAAGGCAGAACACATTTTACTACAAAGGAATCCATTTGGTCTCTGTTTAGGAACCACACACTAGCTCAATAGTAAAGCTCCTTCCTTTCTCCCAGGAAGACTGACCCTGAACTGACATGGAAAGCCTAGGCGGGATATTTAAATCTTAAGTGAGTGGTCAGTTAAGTGTCCGCAGAGGTAAAAGGACAGAGAGCATATTTGGTTTGCTAATGGAATCTATTTACTTCAAGGAAAGTGACAAAAACATCAATCAAACAGGAAGAAGCTGTTAAGGCTGTTAACGCCCTTTCAGATGAACAATGATTTCCACGGGGATTTAAATAAATATTCATGAAAAGGACCAATGACAGAAATTTCACCAAAACTACACCATGGTAAGGTTCCCACACAGTTTTTGCAGACTTGGCTCTTAGCTTCTTAGGAGTGGTGGGAGATTGGGGCTGCGCTCCCGCACTGCAGAATGTGCGGGTTGATGCTTTGGTTTGCTTGCTTGCTTGCTTGCTTGTTGTTTGGTCTTCTAGTTTCAATCCAAGTTGTTTAAATTTGTGCCCTTGTGTATCTCTAATTCTATGCTATCTCCAAAATTCTGTAACATCTTACCAATCATTAAATCATAAAAATGCACTATTGTGAATGCTGGGGCATCATTTGGAATGTATCTTGATTTAAAGAACTGCAGAAGTTTAAAAAATTAAAAAAATCAATGTAAAGCCATAATTTGAAATTATATGCAAACTATACAGAGCAATGTTTTAATTAAGTAAGTCAAGTATTAGCTGGTGTTCTCATGTGTGCCACCGCCTACAGCCACATATGCCTAAATTTCATGGTAATACTCCAAAATAAAAGCCATCAGTAAAGTCTAGTTCAAAAGTCCAATAAGGTATTGGAGAGATGGCTCGCGTTAGGAGAACCTACTGCTCTTACACAGGACTCCAGTTCAGTTCCCAGCATCCATATCCAACATCTCCCATCTGCCCATAACTCCAGCTCCAGGGGATCCAACGCCCTCTTCTGACCTCTGAAGTTATCTACAAACACATATACAGATACACAAACCATCACACAACTAAAATTCTTTAATCTTAAAAATCCAATAAATAACTATTGATCTATAACTATATTTTTAGGCTAGGTTTAGATGATATTCAAAACATAGAAACAGAGTCCCTTTCTTTAATGGTTTTTACTTTCTATGTATGGGTATTTTGCCTGTGGGTATATCTGCAGTGCCTGCAGAGGCCATAAAGGGTGTCATCTCCCCTGGGACTGGAGTTATAGAAGGTTGTAAGCTGTCATGTGGGAGCTAGGAACTGACCCAGGTCCTCTGAGAGAGTAACAAGTGTTGTTAACCACTGAGCCATCTCTCCAGCCTCTCCTTTCTCTCTTTCTCTCTTTCTCTCTTTCTTTTTGTTGTTTTTGTTTTATTTTGTTTTTCGAGACAGGGTTTCTCTGTGTAGTTTTGGTGCCTGCCCTGGATCTCGTACTGTAGCCCAGGCTGAAATTCACAGAGATCCACCCACGGCCCGGCTCAGCCTCTCCTTTCTTAAACATGCCTACAGTTAAGATAGAAAGACAACTGTGTGTGTGTGTGTGTGTGTGTGTGTGTGTGTGTGTGTGTGTGTGTGTGTGCAAATGCACCTCAGGAAGCTAGAATTACAGGAGATTGTGGCCCATCCAATGCATGTTCCGGAAATTAAACATAGGTCTGTTAGGATAAGAGTGGGAGCTCTTACCCACTGAACGTCCAATCTTGAAGAATTTGTAAACAATATAGGACAGCTCTGAGTAAACATTAAAAAACATAAAAAAAGAAACCAAATGCAGGCCGTGTCATGTTTCTAATGAAGTGAGACTTTCATTGGGTTGGGAAGTATTGAGAGAGGTCAGATTGTAAAGGAAATTGAAAATCAAGAATTAGTTAATGAGGTATTAGAAAGCTTGGGATCCACACCACATGACTGACATAATAAAAGTAGAACTTTAAGATTAGTCAAAGAGAAGTCTCCAGTGTGGACAAGACTGATGATGTCAGAAACACAGCTCTCACCTCAGAGGGAATAAGGGGCTGTTTATTCTGCAGCCAAATATGAGTGAGCACAGCCCAGGAATATAGATTCATTTTTCTCTAGGTTCCATGTTCCAACATGGGAACAGTTTCATGAAAATTTTATATTAACAGAACATAGAAACCAATGCACTTTCCAAATACATTGATGGCAATGCCATGTAGGAGGGCCAGAGTAAAGCAGAGAAACCTTTGTTACAGGCCTCAGACACTGTCTGATGATAGGCTTAGCCTTTTAGTTGGTGGAGGCTAGTGACCGGTTAGTATTCCAAGAGATTTCATGTGATAGTCCCAGGATGTTAGGTAAGACACAGAAGTGGGAAATGAAGGACTTTCAGGGGAACTGAAAATAGTGTAAGATAAGTCATTACACTCTGGAAGTACAAAATCCCAACCTCTCCACAGTCCCTGCCGTCCTTATCAGTCACTATGTCTTTACACTGGATTAACTGTATCTTCTCTTTGGAAACTTTAGCTCACCAGGTGAAAGAGACAGAGGTTATTTCAGAAGTAATGTGTCGACTTGGTGTCGAGAAAAAAACCCTAATGGATCAGTGATAGCAATGCAGAGGAAGGGGAGTAACCAAAACAGGACACTGCGTAGGAAAAACAGATTTCTTTTTCAGATTCAGAAATGGTATTTGAAAGGACAGGAAACTATGACAAGCATAAATTGTTTGTCAACATGAAGGCATCGTTCACACAAGGAAGAAAGGAGGCAAAAATGAAATAATAGGAATTGAAATCATGTCTTGGAGATGCAGATTAAGATGCCAGTGAGGTGTAAAAGGAGAGATTCCAGAGTGAGATCCTGAATGATGCTTCTCAGGGTTTGGGAAGGGACTGATGAGGAATCAAATTATACGATGGGTCTTCATTTTAGTTCTCTACTAAAGAGTAAAGTTTCACCTCAAAAAAAAAAAAAAACCTTCATAAAAATTAGTCTTGATAAGATTCATAGTCATCTAATTGAGTCCCTTCTAACTGCCAGTCACCGTGGTAGATACTTTCACATACATTATCACATTTAATTCTCACAGCAACTGCGTGAAGTTGTTTATCTAGAAATTCTAATTAATTATATTGTAATGAAAATGCAACTGCCAAATATTAATCAAGTATTCATTGAATTAATTAGACATATATTGTTTGATTTCTAATCCTATACTGCTCCACTGCCCAGATTCCAATTTTCCTCTTAATAGACATTAATAGCACGAAATAACAAAAAGAGGAGTTCAATGTCAAATAGCACACATGAGTAAAATGCCTTAGTGAAAACTTAAATGTACTGGGGAACGGAAGAACCAACTTGCAAACTAAGTTCAATCTGAGGCAAACCAGTAAATCTTGAGGCTGAGTTATTTCATCTGTCATATGGTATGAACACTTCTCACTATAAATGTGAGTTTATCTGTGGAATCCACTCTCTTTCCAAAGAGAAAAATGATGAAATAATGTACAACAAAACCCGCAAAGGGTTTAACCTAACAGTTAGCTTTAAATGTCTCTTTACCAATTAACCCAAGCGTTACTGCAGTGTGGGCTTAAAGTCCATGGCCAGACTTCATTCTCAAGGAACTAATGAAAAAACAACCAACAGAGGGTTAGTTGTATCTCTGTCCTTGGATCCGGTCTGTTTTTCCTAGTCCTTATCTTGCTTCTTGATCTGATATAACTCCTTTCTTTATCTCAGCCTCGTCGGTTAACCTCCATCTTGATATTGACCTGATAACCTTAGAGCGGTTGCAGTCTTCCTAGCTACAATTGCCTAACATTAAAATTCTTTTCCCCCCTCTCTGGACAATACAGTTACTAATTATAATTCATTGCTATTTCTGTTCTACTTCAATCTAATGAGTCTGTGCAGGGCAAGAACTATAAAAGCTTTACTTCACCCTGTGACTATTCCAATATGAATTCATATAAATGGCCCCTAAAATACCTTTCACCTTGATGCAGCTGAGGTGAGAAAGTCTAGAGAGCTCTGTGGATGTGAGTGTATAAGGAATCGTAGCAAAGGCTCTCCTCCAGCACTCCCAGTGTCCAGCCAATGCTACCTGCATCCTCTTTCATTACAAGTCTCTCCCTGTCCCTCCAACTTTCTAAGAGCTGGCCACTTCTGAAGGTTGCCTCAGCCATGCCGTTTAGAATGGATTGAACTGAACAGAAATTTTAATTAGTGACATTTTGAAGTAGACCTCTGATAGCCTTAAATCTTATGAACCCTTCTTCTACCATCCCTGTATGGACTACTATTTAGGGAATCACCACCTATGGCAACAGGCATAGATCTTACAAATAATAAACATGTCATGAAATCATCGTATTTATATGTCAGTTATAAGTAATTTCTTATGATCAATCTAATATTTTTCATTCAAAATTCTCAACAATCTTAAGAAGTGGACATCATCAGCCCCACTTAGAGCCAAAAGAAACAGAAACTCCAACTGATAAATAAAGACTCTAAAGCCAAATACCTGTGGCAGTGGTAGCATCCAATTTAAAATAACTGCCAAAATGCCTCTATACCCCTATACTCACAGAATTAAATTTGGGGGGCACATAGTTATTGAAGACTCCATGAATATAACTATAGATAAGGAATATAAACTAAGATTCAACACAAGATTACCATTATCTACAAATAATAACTAAACAAATTTTGAAAACTAAATCTTCTATGAATGCAGCCCTCCATCTCTATCAAAGACAAGATAGAAAAAAAGACATGCAAACACGTCACAAAATTAGCTTAAAAATAAAAAAGAAAATCCTAACAACTTAATTTTCAAATGTAGGAATATCTTCCCTACAAAACTAGTTGGTTTATCCTCTTGTTTTCGTTGCTATTTCCTTGTGGTTTTGCATTTTGTTTTCCAAGACTGGATTTTACTAGAGACCCCAGGCTTGTCTCAAAACAGGGATTCTCCTGTAGACTTCCGAGTTCTGGGATTACAGTCCATGTGCTACCACTGTTCACCTCTTTGTTTTTTCTTTTAAATGGATAATATCAAGAGCCCGAAATAAAAATAACCAGTAAAGAATAAGGGAATCTTATTTTGTTAGGTTGTCTTTCTAGCAGAGCATGTAAGATGGTACAATGTGTAGAAGTCCATAGCCTGGGAAGCAGCTGGCATTGCTGAAGGGCTGCTCTGACTCTGTGTTGTTATCCCCTGACTGTTCCTGTCTTAGTTTGGGTTTCTATTACTGTGAAAAAAACACTGTGACCAAAAACCAGTTGGGGAAGAAAGGGTTTATCTGGCTTATACTTCCATCATAGGAGGAAGTCAGGACAGGAAC